TCATTTATTTTTCAACAGGACAATGACCCCAAACACACCTCCAGGCTGTGTAAGGGCTATTTGACCAAGAAGGAGAGTGATGGAGTGCTGCGGCAGATGACCTGGCCTCCACAGTCACCGGACCTGAACCCAATCCAGATGGTTTGGGGTGAGCTGGACCGCAGAGTGAAGGCAAAGGGGCCAACAAGTGCTAAACACCTCTGGGAACTCCTTCAAGACTGTTGGAAAACCATTTCAGGTGACTACCTCTTGAAGCTCATGGAGAGAATGCCAAGAGTGTGCAAAGCAGTAATCAGAGCAAAGGGTGGCTATTTTGAAGAAACTAGAATATAAAACATGTTTTTAGTTATTTCACCTTTTTTTTGTTAAGTACATAACTCCACATGTGTTCATTCATAGTTTTGATGCCTTCAGTGAGAATCTACAATGTAAATAGTCATGAAAATAAACGCATTGAATGAGAAGGTGTGTCCAAACTTTTGGCCTGTACTGTATTTCGGCTGCGCTTTGGAAAGCAGAGCTAGAGGGATAAAGTGGACTAACTTTGCACTTGAAGGTTGCCCGTTCACTTACGTTTTAATAGGTCTGACGCTACTGTGCGCCCCGGGTGTATCTAGGCTAACGGCTAACATGCTAACTATTATTTCTATGTCACTAGTCACTTGAAACAAATTTAGGACGATAGGAGACAGGTTGAAATAAACCGAAATTTCCCTTTAAAGCCTGAAATATCACCTCAACACAAAGTGTTTGGCAGTGACCCTGGGTGTCCGAGCTAGCGCAGCCTCTGACGCTAACGCTAGCAGTCAGCCTCATCAAGCCACACCTGACCAGGTGTTTAGACACAAACTGAGTCAGTCTACCTGTGACTCACTAACTCCTTATAAAATGGACTGCAGACCAGTTTGGGTGGTCGAGGACAGGGGGACAACTGTGTCCAAAATCCATCAGCTTTACAAATACTTTCACAGCTAAAATTGATGTATGAGATTAATTTAGGTTGATCAATCAGAGCATGTGATGATTTGGATTATTTTTTTCTGTTTTGTAGTAAAAACTGCACCAATACAAAGATGATTTTGGATAAAAAGGGATGACATTCATAGAGGCTGCATTTGCTAAAGCGAATCAAAAGAGAAGCAGTGACGCCTCAAATATCTTTGACGGTTCATGAAAGTGAAGAGAGCAGCGATCAAACGTGTCAGACAGGAACAAGGGAACAACACCTCTACCTCCTTCTTTACCTCCTCCCTCCTGTTGCTTTCCTTTCTGCACAGAACACGACCCCCTCTGGTGTTTCTATTCTTCCTCCTCTGCTCCTCTCAGCCTTTCTCTCTTCACCCATCATCACCTGTACACAATACTCATCTTCCATTTCCTCTGCAGCTTCAACACCTGTGAAAAGTCTCTCTCAGGATGTGGCCTGTGCATTCATAATGCGCATTTCTTAGCTCCCACAGTGCATTCTGGGAGTTACAATACAAATCTGGTTCACTTTTCAGTCAAAGCAACATTAGAAAAAGATTTAGATTTTTCAGAGTGAAAAGTTTAGTCTCTTTTGATCATTCAGAAGCTGCGTTCACTGACCTGTTCACTATACCACTGATCAGGTTGTGGATTTAGCTCGAGCAGGAGGATGTGGTTCCATCCACAGCCCTCGATAATGTCACATTAAAGGTCCAGTGTTTAGGATTTAGGGGGATATAATGTAGTTTTATAACTAGGCTAGGGAACAAAGACCACGCCTCGAACACATCCCATTTCCGCCCAAAAGTATTTAAGCACACCAGATGCATTCTCACATCCCACCCACCCAATCCCTTCTCGCCTCTTACATCTTTTTCTCTGCTCCTTTCTGCAGACAGGAACCAGTGGGGGCTCTATCTGAAGCCGAGCTCACAAAGAGACAACTCCCCCACTCGGTCTCACTCCCAGGATCCCTCCTGTGTTCCTGCCTTCGATCCAACACACACACACATCCATCTATGCGCTCGCCTGCTACCCAGAAACCCAGCCTTCATCCCTACCCCCTTCACGCTTTCCTCTGAACCCATAAATCATCATACGCAATAAACCATTCGAAATCTTTATCTTATCGGCGTGGTCTTTGTTAGTGAATTGGCAGAAATGTAATGTCATATAATAAGTATGTTTTTCTTTGTGTTTTCGTTGCCTAAGAAACAGCTGTTTATATCTACATAGGGAGCAGGTCCTCGTTTACGGAGATCGCCATGTTGCACTGCCATGTTTCTACAGTAGCCCAGAATGGACAATCCAAACACTGGCATTAGATAGAGCCGTTCACCTGTTTGCATTGGCCATTATAGTTCGCAGTCCCTCTGTTTTTTAGGGGGGAAAGGAGGAGTAAGAGACCTTTGTGGATAATTCAGCTCACGATAAAAAAACCCCGAACCATGAACACTGAATTGCAATCTGCAATTCATTGCTAGATGCCTATAAATCGTACATGCTGTTCCTTTAACGTTAGCTTACTTATTTTAAAGACTGTGCTGCTGCATGTTTCTGTGGTTTGTCCCAGGTGTTTTTTTTTTTTTAATTTGTTAAATTTTCGGTGGGACTACAGATGATTTTAGCCCAACGTGCCGAAGGAACTGGCAGAGATTATGTTACTGAATGCAAAACAGATATTTCTTGGGGGCGGAGGGTTGTAATTATAAAGATGCGTGCAGGTTGTTGACTTTGCATCCAAACACTAATTGACCTATGGCTAAGCCCCGCCCTCAAACGCGATGAGCCAATCACAGTGCGTATAGCCATTCCCATACACTGGGACATTCTCTGCCTGGACGTTCATTGAAATGCATTACAGAAAGTCAGTTTGTTCGGTTTTATGAGCTTTTTCAGAGATTTAAAGTTTAAAAATGGTCAAACGGTGTGCATGGGGCACATGTACAACACAAGGTATTCTGAGAGGCTGGGCGACCAGGTGTATTTTTTACACTTTAAACCACATCTCAACCGAGAAAAGTGTCTCCTTTGGATAAAGTTGTGTGGTAACGTTAGACCACAACATCAACTCAACGTGAATAAGATTAACAATGATGTCTACATCTGTTCTAAGGTAAGTCAACGTTGTGTTTGAGGCAACATATTGTCACTTTGCTGGAAAGAAATATAAAGTTATCTTTAACATCTCTAGCTAACGTTAGCTAAAGTTAGCCTAACGTTAGCTCCTAGCTGTGTTGTTCATCATGTCACCTTGTTTGCTGGGAGTTCATTAGCCTATTTTGTTCTATTTCTGTACTTTGGTGATCGTACATCATTGTTAGCTGTTGTCCAAAGGGCTCTAGTTAAGCTAACGTTAACTTCTGGAGCTTAGCTTCATTAACTTATCTGTAATGGCAGAGATAACAAAGGTTGGCAAACGTTATGCTGAATGATTCAGTGTAAATACTGTAGCACCAAACTAACGGAGAGACACTCTTGGTAAAGATGGTAAAAAGGCCGTTATCCTTTTCTCATATTCTGAGCCAAAAACCTTAACTTCAGTGGCACTTTAACTTGTTGTCTTTGATTGTGACGGCAACCAGATGCGGTTCACAAGCGTACACTGTGACCTGTAAATTTTGGCTTGTAATTTAAGCTTTTCATCGACCTTCTCAACAATAAAATGATGAATATATCCCTCCAATGCGTAGTTTAGGCCCTTTTGGTTACTTCTCAATGACATCTGATTGTTATGTCCCCAAAAATCATCAACTGCCTCCTGTGAAATGCCGTGTACTGTGACACCTGCCATAGCGCTGCTCACTGAATGTTGATAGTTTGTCCGAGTGAGTGGAGGGGGGCGTGGCTTAGCCATAGGTCAGTCGGTTTATTTGTCCATCCGTCTGTATCTCACATTATAAATTAGTTTTTATTTGCTGATGGAAATTGTCATTGTGCTCTCCTGGTTAGAAGTCCTCTTCTTCTCCAAAACAAACGGAGCAGGTGATTTAAAAATGCTGCAGTTCTTGTTTTCAAAAGCCACTTTTTATTTGGATTATGCCTAATTTCTCTCATGAACAAAAGGTAAATAATCATTTTTGTCACAGTCTGAAGACTCTTAAGTATATATCTTCATTTTTTTCTATGGGTCTTGGTGTAGATATGCATACTTTAAATCACAGTATTAAGCTTTGTTTATGATATAAATACTCATCAGACATATGTGTATATATAAATATATGTTCTTACCTTCTTTTCTACCATCATCATTCAGCAGTTTCTAGACAGCTTAATTAGCTCCACAGATGTGGAACACCAAAGTACATGTTGTCACGAGTTCTTCATCCTTAGAACATTTGAAACTAAATTATCATCACATTTAATTCATGTCTAATTATTTCTTGACTCGTATATAAATATATTTTTCCTTTTTATTTCCTTTTTTCTCTGCACTGTGTCTTTCTTGGTTTTTATTGGATTATTTTTCACTGACTGCTCGGTGTGCTTCCTGTTGTCATTTATCTCTTGGTGTATTTTTCTGTATAATGTTAGTTCAGTTCTTTTGTCCACTTTTTTTGCTGTTGTTTTTCTCCATAAGTTGAGGTGAGGTCAGTTTGTATAATCCTGTGGCCTCTTGACCTCTCCTGACACTCTTCTTATTTTTTTTTCTGTTTTACTATTTAGATTTTATGCAGTTTTATGTCTGTGTAAAGAATAAATACATACATAAATAAATAAATAAATAAATAAATAAATAAATCTCCAGCATCCTGTTTTCACAGGAAATGCATCAAATTAAGGAGCGGAGATGGTGTTTTTAATGAGCTCTTGGCGAGGTCAGCCGAAAATGGAATCGACACACAGTGCTTAGACATAGACTAGAACAATTATCATCTCAGAAATGTTTTAGCACCATTTCAGGCACGAGGAGAGATGTCATTCAGAGGTCTAGAAATAAAATGATGGCTGTTCTCAGATTTTTTATAGTTAAACGATAAAAATGCAGCCAGAGCTGAGGCAATGGTGTGTCAGCACAACAAACCATGCTACTACGGATGTTAACAATTTACTTTATCAGACATTTGACAATTAACACCGTCAGTTAAACAGTAAAAATATAGATTAAATATAAAATACAGGCGTTACAAGAAGAGATGATGAGACAGCAGAGTCTGCTGTAACACAGGCTCACAAACAAGCTTCTAAATTAGCATCCCTACACGCTACAGTTACACATCAGGCCTTTTAATTCCTATCTTCATCTCCATCACTCCTCCTTCCTCCCGGCATTATTCATCCAGTATGGCCGCTGTCACCCCGTCTTTCCCTCAATGACACACTGGACGACATGAATGAACAAACACAAGGAGCTGTGCTTCCCTCAAGGGCACACACACACACACACACACACAGCCACACAACCACTTAGAGCACTTCCGTAACCCAATAGTGTCGACGAAATGAGTCAGGAGATCATCTGATAGCAGCGACGAAATGAATCACATCAGCCTGTGTGTGTGTGTGTGTGTGTGTGAGCGCGCATAAACGTCTTTACTGTAATTGCCACTTTTCGTTAAGTATGTTTCATGTTAGATGATATATATGTGTGTGTGTGTGTGTGTGTGTGTGTGTGTCATACCGTCTTGGGGCAGTGGACGTATCGTGCCAGGCTGATAATCAGGTCATGCGTGATGGGGTCAACCAGGTTTCTGAAGCTGGCGTAGCGGTACAACACATCATCCAGAGATGTTGACTCCATGCCCAGGTCCTACACACACACACACATAAAATGAGATCATCATATCATCACTTACACAACTGTACATGCAGTGCGTATACATATATAGGCAGCACTCATATAAGCAAGACAGTCAATGTGTTTATGTATCAGATTTCATACACATGGGAGAGCTCAGTGGGCTCATGTTAGAATTACCGCCGTGTGGTTATTTGCCTCTACGCAAGTTGCAGTCACAGTTTACATCCATGTCTGTGAAATCATGGGTGCTTCACACACATCTTCCCCAGGCAGCACAGATGATCTTTACAATCAACACAGTTTCAAGGTGGACACCCGAGGTTAGTCACTGTTGCAACTCGGCTCAAGGCTGGATGAAGGAGTGGAGACAACACATGAGTTTAAACTAAAATGAAGTTTAATTTACAGAACTAAAATGTAAATGATGAGCAAAACGTAACAAAACCAAACAGGGTGGAGGCCAGAGGAGAGTCCTGCAGCCTGCCCAGGTGAGCTGAATCTCCCTGATGACCTGACTCCGCCCACCAGGCTCCTGGAGGGAGAGGCCCATCGGAGACAGTCATCCCACCCCTCCCCACAAAAAAAAAAAAAAAACAGAAAATAAACACTTAAAATTGGCATTCCACACTGAACTATCCAGTCCTTAGTCCCTTTAAAACAAGGTGATACACAAACAAAGTGCCCCTCCTAAGAATCCCCCACCAATACTCCCCACACTCAGACATCTGCAACCATGGGACAACAGGAAGCATCTCTAGAACTGTAGAGGGAATCGATAAAGATTATAGTGGAAGGGTTAAAGGCAGGGCAAAAAAGGCTGAGGAGAAATGCACAAGACCACAGTGAGTGTGTCAAGGCCCAATCCTTAACTTCACAACACTCCAAACAAAAGACAGTGCTTTAGGTTGGTGTCTGCGTCAAAGAAAGGTAACAAACCTGATACAACACATAAATCTAAAGTGCTGAATCTACTAACAAAACCAAACGTGGTCCACACACACAAACTGGAGTCTCGCACAACCTCAGCCATTAAACATACAGCTACTATACAAGCTCAGCCCCAGTCCTCTGGGAGCTACTGATGGGGGTTGCTTATTCACTGGAAACCAGTGGGTCCAGGAAGTCCCTGCTATGCAATTACCCTCAGACAACCATATAGCTCCACCCACTTCCACTGCCACTTCATGAGACCAAGCTGCAACAAACTGTTAGAGATTCAATTCAGTATCTGACCAAATGTCTCTCCTTCTGTTCCTGAGATATGACGTTGAGTAATGGCCAGAAAAGAGTTTTTGCAGAACATTATGATGTCACAGTGAAGCTGACCTTTGACCTTTTGGATATAAAATGTCATCACTTCAACACTGTGAAATTTTGTCATAATTAGTGCAAGGATTCCTGATGTTATGGCCAAGAACATGTTTTGTGAGGTCCCACTGACCTTTGACTTTCAATCACTAAATTCTAATCTGGTCATTGAGGAGTCCAAGCGGATGTTTGTGTCAAATCTGAAGAAATTCCCTGAAGGTATTCTTGAGATATCGCAGTCAGATTGAGATGGATGCAAGGTCACAGTGACCTTTTACCACCAAAATCTAGTCAGTTAATCACTGAGTCCAAGTTAACATTTTTGCATGCAGAACATTATGATGTCACAGTGTCACACCTTTGACCTTTGGGATTTGAAAAATGTCACCTTCTTCATATGTCCTTTTATGTGACATTTTGTCATTTTAGCAAACGGATTCCTGACTTATGGCAAAAAACATTCTTTGTGAGGTCACAGTGACCTTTGACCTTGGACCACCAAATTCTTACCAGTTTATTCTGGAGTCCAAGAAGATGTTTGTGCCAAATTTGAAGAAATTCCTTATAGGTGTTCTTGAGATATGGTGTTCAGAAGAATGCAACAGACAAGGTCACAGTGACCTTTAATCACCCAAATCTAATAATTTCATCATTCAGTCCAAGTGGACATTTGTGCCAAATTTGAAGACATTCTCTGAAGGTGTTCTTGCGATATCGCAGTCAGAATTAGTTGGATGCAAGGTCACAGTGACCTTTTACCACCAAAATCTAATCAGCTAATCGTTGAGTCCAAGTTAACATTTTTGCATGCAGAACATTATGATGTCACAGTGTCACACCTTTGACCTTTGGGATTTAAAACGTCATACCTTCATCATATGTCCTTTTATGTGAAATTTTGTCATAATTAGCAAATGGTTTCCTGACTTATGGCAAAAACATTTTTTGTGAGGTCACAGTGACCTTTGGCTGCCAAATTCTTACCAGTTTATTCTGGAGTCCAAGTAGACGTTTGTGCCAAATTTGAAGAAATTCCCTACAGGTATTGTTGAGATATGGTGTTCACGAGAATGCAACAGACAAGGTCACAGTGACCTTAAGCTTTGACCTTTAACCACCAAAATCTAATCATTTCATCATTCAGTCCAAGTGGATGTTTGTGCCAAATTTGAAGAAATTCCCTGAAGGTGTTTTTGAGATATCGCAGTCAGAATTAGTTGGATGCAAGGTCACAGTGACCTTTTACCACCAAAATCTAGTCAGTTAATCACTGAGTCCAAGTTAACATTTTTGCATGCAGAACATTATGATGTCACAGTGTCGCACCTTTGACCTTTGGGATTTAAAACGTCATACCTTCATCATATGTCCTTTTATGTGAAATTTTGTCATAATTAGCAAATGGTTTCCTGACTTATGGCAAAAACATTTTTTGTGAGGTCACAGTGACCTTTGGCTGCCAAATTCTTACCAGTTTATTCTGGAGTCCAAGTAGACGTTTGTGCCAAATTTGAAGAAATTCCCTACAGGTATTGTTGAGATATGGTGTTCACGAGAATGCAACAGACAAGGTCACAGTGACCTTAAGCTTTGACCTTTAACCACCAAAATCTAATCATTTCATCATTCAGTCCAAGTGGATGTTTGTGCCAAATTTGAAGAAATTCCCTGAAGGTGTTTTTGAGATATCGCAGTCAGAATTAGTTGGATGCAAGGTCACAGTGACCTTTTACCACCAAAATCTAGTCAGTTAATCACTGAGTCCAAGTTAACATTTTTGCATGCAGAACATTATGATGTCACAGTGTCGCACCTTTGACCTTTGGGATTTAAAACGTCATACCTTCATCATATGTCCTTTTATGTGAAATTTTGTCATAATTAGCAAATGGTTTCCTGACTTATGGCAAAAACATTTTTTGTGAGGTCACAGTGACCTTTGGCTGCCAAATTCTTACCAGTTTATTCTGGAGTCCAAGTAGACGTTTGTGCCAAATTTGAAGAAATTCCCTACAGGTATTGTTGAGATATGGTGTTCACGAGAATGCAACAGACAAGGTCACAGTGACCTTAAGCTTTGACCTTTAACCACCAAAATCTAATCATTTCATCATTCAGTCCAAGTGGATGTTTGTGCCAAATTTGAAGAAATTCCCTGAAGGTGTTTTTGAGATATCGCAGTCAGAATTAGTTGGATGCAAGGTCACAGTGACCTTTTACCACCAAAATCTAGTCAGTTAATCACTGAGTCCAAGTTAACATTTTTGCATGCAGAACATTATGATGTCACAGTGTCGCACCTTTGACCTTTGGGATTTAAAACGTCATACCTTCATCATATGTCCTTTTATGTGAAATTTTGTCATAATTAGCAAATGGTTTCCTGACTTATGGCAAAAACATTTTTTGTGAGGTCACAGTGACCTTTGGCTGCCAAATTCTTACCAGTTTATTCTGGAGTCCAAGTAGACGTTTGTGCCAAATTTGAAGAAATTCCCTACAGGTATTGTTGAGATATGGTGTTCACGAGAATGCAACAGACAAGGTCACAGTGACCTTAAGCTTTGACCTTTAACCACCAAAATCTAATCATTTCATCATTCAGTCCAAGTGGATGTTTGTGCCAAATTTGAAGAAATTCCCTGAAGGTGTTTTTGAGATATCGCAGTCAGAATTAGTTGGATGCAAGGTCACAGTGACCTTTTACCACCAAAATCTAGTCAGTTAATCACTGAGTCCAAGTTAACATTTTTGCATGCAGAACATTATGATGTCACAGTGTCGCACCTTTGACCTTTGGGATTTAAAACGTCATACCTTCATCATATGTCCTTTTATGTGAAATTTTGTCATAATTAGCAAATGGTTTCCTGACTTATGGCAAAAACATTTTTTGTGAGGTCACAGTGACCTTTGGCTGCCAAATTCTTACCAGTTTATTCTGGAGTCCAAGTAGACGTTTGTGCCAAATTTGAAGAAATTCCCTACAGGTATTGTTGAGATATGGTGTTCACGAGAATGCAACAGACAAGGTCACAGTGACCTTAAGCTTTGACCTTTAACCACCAAAATCTAATCATTTCATCATTCAGTCCAAGTGGATGTTTGTGCCAAATTTGAAGAAATTCCCTGAAGGTGTTTTTGAGATATCGCAGTCAGAATTAGTTGGATGCAAGGTCACAGTGACCTTTTACCACCAAAATCTAGTCAGTTAATCACTGAGTCCAAGTTAACATTTTTGCATGCAGAACATTATGATGTCACAGTGTCGCACCTTTGACCTTTGGGATTTAAAACGTCATACCTTCATCATATGTCCTTTTATGTGAAATTTTGTCATAATTAGCAAATGGTTTCCTGACTTATGGCAAAAACATTTTTTGTGAGGTCACAGTGACCTTTGGCTGCCAAATTCTTACCAGTTTATTCTGGAGTCCAAGTAGACGTTTGTGCCAAATTTGAAGAAATTCCCTACAGGTATTGTTGAGATATGGTGTTCACGAGAATGCAACAGACAAGGTCACAGTGACCTTAAGCTTTGACCTTTAACCACCAAAATCTAATCATTTCATCATTCAGTCCAAGTGGATGTTTGTGCCAAATTTGAAGAAATTCCCTGAAGGTGTTTTTGAGATATCGCAGTCAGAATTAGTTGGATGCAAGGTCACAGTGACCTTTTACCACCAAAATCTAGTCAGTTA